GGTTACAATAAAAACTTTGATTGACGGAAGTCATTTGCTGGGAATGTGGAAAAACACTGCGATGCAACTGAGCTAAATGTAAAACAATTTATGATGAGATTGGAAAAACAACGTGGCATGTATTGAGTACAATTTCAGCTTTGTAAAATAAATCGAATTTCAAACGGTACAGTTAAATAGATAAGTGTTTAAATATTTCATAGTATTAATATAATTTAAAAATAACAGTAAAGAGCTTGCATGTGTTATGTTTAATATTGTGCAGCGGGCTTCCGTCCAATAAGACTGGAAATGGGTCTAGGTCGATACACGTAGAAATGGTTTCTAAGCAACTTTATTTATATGACTACATATATTCTAACCACGATTTTGATGCAATTTCGACAACTGTAATAACTAAGAGTTGGCACATGGCAAATATTTTAGACAGTCCTAAAGTTTGGGATCTTTACAGAGGTAAACAATCAAACTTACTGTCAAATTTTTCATATTTAACAAAGTCATTCAAATTCATCAAACATTTTTGAACATTTACAAACGTGACATTAATGAATTAAAAAAAGATGTTTGTCCAATAGTTTATAGTTTTCAATTTATAACATATAAATAGATATCTTGTATATTGAATACATTATTATACCTTTATATATTTAACAAATATTGATTGGACGATAAGTATATAATCTTATCGTTAATAATATCTTCAGATATAAATAACATTGATAGTTTCGCTTGTAATTTGAAATCATTGACAAAAATAATTCCATGTCAGTGATAAATATGATTGACATTTTTTTCTATCGTATTTTGTCGTTATAGAATGACGTGACATAATAAAAATTACTTAAAATGTTAGATTACGTGATTAATTTTGTACGTGACATGAAAATGTCTTTATCGCATTATAATAAAACAAATTTTTAAGGTCGTAAAAGACTGACTTGCTAGTGTTTATTAACATGATCTGAAGAAAACTAGGATTAACCAAGGAATAAATAAATGTTTTACTTTTTACAAATTTTTTGACAGTTCAAGGTCATCTGCGCTTGCATCCCGCTACGTCCCACTACATCAAAAATTGTATTAATTCGCTTTAAGTTAAGAGCCGCCAAAATATCTGAACCCTTCATACACAAAGCAACGTAAATCATATAATTATTATAGTAAAAGTCCAAAGTCTTTATACAAAACATTTTCTGTGCATCTTATATTTAGGGTTTAAGAATAAAATGTATTGTGTACCACAGCGAATAAAACTTGCATCTATACGAGTACAATTAGAGAAAAATAATACGCGAGAATATTTAAAAGCAAAGACACCCGAAACGTGTAACAAACTACGGCAGTTTCTGACCTGTACTAATTTCTATCTTGTGTACGTTGATTTATCGTGCTTTATGCTAAGTCTAATTACTTCGGCCCGAATTCTTAACACTGGCATATTGCAATGACCTTATCTCAACACTTAGAAAGGTATCATGCACGTATGATATGTTACTGATTGCTTGACCTTAAACAAATTATTTTCGGCTTATCCTACGCACGGTTAGTCCTTGTAATAGTTAATATTTCGTAAGAGACTTCCGATATGTCTTTTGTTTCTTAGTAATCTTACTAATATTATAAATGTGAAAGTTTAAATGGATGGATGGATGTTTGTTAGACTGTATCTCCAGAACTGCTGCATCGATCTAACGTAACATTGGCACAGATGAAGACTATAGCGTGGAAGAACACATAGACTACTATTTGTTTTTTTATTCTGCACGAACGCGACTGCTAATCTAAATAAAAAAAAATGTTTATATTTTTATCCCATTTGTGTTCTTTAATCACGAGACACATTTTTAATGAAACCTTATAGATACTATAAACTATAATGCCGGAGAGGTCAGAGAAAGTTTGTACACAAAAAATCTGAAAAAAAAAATTAAAAACTTTATAGTTTTTAATAAAACCTATTTATTTTTAATGTAACATTGCAACGCTTGACGTTCAGTTTATTATAAATAGAACTATTATCTTTTATTCATACTGACAAAGTGTTGAAACTCCTTGAAACTTATGGGAGCGTAGGTCAAATGTTAGAAAGATAAAATAAAATTCACTCTTTTCGAAAATAAACGTGTATTGTTGAATATGAACAGAAAAAGACAAACGAATAAAATTTTTACAAATTTAAAAGAATAAATTATTTCTTCTTTTCTATGTGGTCTGACTTAAAGTATTGAAACTCCTTGGACATACCGGCCACCAAAGACCTTTGTCTTTAAACCCATTAAAGACCGGCCACCGTGAGGAATAATCTAAAAATATGTATCTTTGTTGCATTGTATGCAAGTACTCTAACTGCCAACATTTCCAAAACTGAGACATCATCCTTTGTAAAAGTTGCCACCTCGTAAGAAGATTTATGTTTCTGAATATGGATATGAAACTGGTTTTATTTAACCTGCCTCCTACTCTTAATATTTCATCTCTATCAATAAAAGGATCTAAAGTAAATCAGTTTTCTTCTCCTTTTCACTTTATTGTTCCGCTTCAAATCTTGAATTTCTTCTCTAAAGCATAATTCCTGATATTGTAATATAAATAATAATATAAATCTGTTCATAACGATTTTCAATTCTTCAGTAGTTAAATAAGAAGATTTCTCCTCACCCTTCTTAAACTTCATTCTCCGGCAGTATGCTAAGACACTTGTTAGTTTATTTAAGTTAGAAAATCTTTCCCATATAGAGACTTCATCTGAAACATGTAGTGTCTTGATATCATTTTTCTTGATTTCTAATTCTGTTGATGGAATGTCTTTCTTCTCGTATAAAATATTTTCTTTTCTAAGCCAGCTCGGTCCGTGCCACCATAATTCATTTGTTCGTAATTCTCTTGCACTAATTCCACGCGATGCTGGATCGGCTGGATTCTCAGAAGACCTTACATGATGCCATTTTTCATTATCCATTAGCTGTATAATTTCAGAAACTCGATTACCTATAAATGTTTTCCATCTGCTTGGCGGTGACTACAGCCAAGACAGAACTACCATTGAGTCAGTCCAGGCGAAAACATTTTCTTTAGGAATATTCAATATATTTCTTACTTCATTCAGTAAGCGCGTTAGTAGTACACCAGCGCATAATTCCAATCTCGGAACGGATATTTGTTTTAATGGAGCTACCTTAGTTTTTGCAGCTATTAAATTAACACATACTTTATTTTCTTCTGTAATAACTCTCAGGTACGCAACTGCCGCATACGCTGTTGTCGAAGCATCTGCAAATCCATGTATCTCCACCAACTTATTCTTTGAATGTAATTTGAACCATCTTGGTAATGTAATAGTTTGCAAATTGCTCAAATCTTCTCTATATGTAGTCCATTGATTAATTAAATCAAGTGGCAGTTCCTCGTCCCAATCTCTTCTACAAAGCCATAACTTCTGTATAAATACCTTTGCCGTTACGACAACAGGTGATAACCATCCGAATGGATCAAATAAACGGGAAATGTCTGATAAGATGTATCTTTTAGTAATGGAATAGGATAACTCTGGTAAGTGGACTGTAATATGAAAGCTGTCATCTTGCCTATTCCAAATCAAACCTAGAATCTTGAATATAGGATCCATTTTGAAAGTCAACTTTTCTATCTCACAATTAGACTTATTTTTCATCTGACTTAATAACTCACTTGAATTGCTGGACCATTTTTGCATCTCAAAACCTCCATCCAATAGTAAATTATTTATCTCTTCATAATTCTTATACGCTTGCTCCACCGTGTCTGCTCCTGTCATTAGATCGTCCATATAAAAGGAATCCTTTAAGATATTAAATGCATTATGATATTTATGTTTTTCATCCTCAGCTAACTGAATAAGTGTACAAACTGCAAGAAAAGGCGCGGCTGCGGTGCCAAATGTTACTGTAACTAATTTGTAGTGTTGCAAAGGTTGTTCCTGTTCGTCGCGCCACACGATGCATTGTAGACTTGAGTGTTCTTCAGCGATTTTAATTTGTCTATACATCTTAACAATATCTCCTACAATACATATTTTGTATGATCTCCATTTAATTAATAAAGTGCGCAGATCGGGTTGAAGTGTAGGTCCAATTAGCATACAATCATTGAGAGAATAACCGTTACTACCTTTGGCTGAGGCATCGTATACAACTCGAACCTTAGTGGTATCTCTGTCCTCTCGAACAATTGCGTGATGTGGTAAATACAAACATTGTGCTTCTTCATCTACCTTAATCATGTGGCCTAAATCTAAATACTCCTTAATCACCTTTTGATATTCTTCCTTTAGAGAATGATTTCTTTTAAATTTATTTTCCAGATGTGTAAATCTTCTTATGGCTTGGTCCTTTGTGTTACCGCATTGTATTATTGTTTTTTCAGGAGATTGTTTTAACGGAAGGTTGACGATATATCTTCCATTCTCGTCTCTTTTAGTCGTAGTTTTATATATTTCCTCACATATTTCTTCTTCTTTTGTTAATATTTTCTTACTACTACCTAAGTCTGCTTCGATCTCCCAAAACTTCTTTAGTAAATCATTATCTAATGTTTTTATGTGCATACTAATAACTTCTCTTTGTCCGTTTTGTTTTTGATCCGTGACTTCACCCGACAGGATCCATCCTAAACGAGTGAACTGTGCTAAAACACCATCTGTACCTTTTACTACTCCATTGTCTAGAATCTTACTGTATACATCGGCACCCAATAATAGATCAACTCTACCAGGAGTATTGAACGTTGCATCTGCTAACGGTAAATCCTTTATCAAAGTACAGGTGGACCCTTTTATACCGCAGTTCGGTAAAAGGGTTGTTATGGATCTTAAAACAAACGCATGGACAATTAGGTTGAAGGTTGTGTCATACCTTGATCTCAACTTAAAAGTAACTGTATTTTTTAAGTACAGTTTGTTGCTGCCTTCACCTACGCCAACGACCTCGTTTTGACATTTTGTTTTCTTCAAACCAAGTGTTTGAACTATCTTCTCAGTGATAAACGAGGCTTGTGATCCCTGATCAAGTAGAGCCCGTACGACGTGTGAATTATTTTTATCTGAAATAACATCGATTAGAGCTGTTGGTAACAATACACCTTGACCAGGTTGTTTTCTTCCAGAGAAGTGTGCCGCTACTACTGAATCCTTCTCCTTCGGGTCCTTTTGTTCTGATTCTGCGCTGTTCATATTTGCAATACTCTTTCTTTCTGGATGTATAAGTGAATGATGCTTTTTATTACATATTTTACAAGACGTTCGCTGTTTACATTTGATAACGGGATGGTTAGGAATAAGACAATTAAAACATAAATTGTTGTTTTGTACAAAGTCATACCTCTTCTCGATGGACAGTTTCACAAACTCCTTACAGTTGTATATATAGTGATTTCCTTTGCAGAACGAACATTGGTGCTCGATACTAGCGTGAAATGTTTTCGGTCTCATTAGTTTTGATTTGTAGTTACTACTGTCAATCATTTCCAATGTTCTAAACCTAGTTTCGAGAAAAGTTGTTAGTTTCTGTAATTTTGGTATCTCATCTGTACTATCTGCACTAATTGTCTCTTCCCACTGCTTTAGGCTATTTTCATCTAATTTTGAAATAATAATATAAATTAAAATAGCGTCCCAATATTCTGTAGGCAAACCAATATGTTTCAAAGCATTGATGCATTCGACGGAGGTGTCTAATAGTTGTTTGATATTAAAAGCTGATTCCTGAGTAATATTCCTTTGTCCAAAAAATTTCTTAAAAATGTAATTTGTAACATACCGCTTGTTGTCATATCTTTTCTTTAAGATATTCCATGCTTCTCCATAATTGTTTCCAGTCACCGGTACTCCTTTAAGCAATGTTTCTGCATCTCCTGACAAGCTACTTTTCAGATAGTGAAGCTTCTGTACTTCATCTAAGTGTCCATTGTTATGAATCAATGATGTAAATAAATCATAAAAAGATTGCCATTCGGTATAATTTCCGGAAAAAGTTGGTATAGTAATACGTGGTAATTTAACGTCTCTACTATAGCACTTAACATCGTCTTCTTGCTTAAAGTTGCATTCTTCTCTAGATGTGGATGGCATTGGATTCAATTTTTGTAAAGCTGTGTTCAACTCACCTTTGTAAATATAATAATTTTCTTCTACATTACTATAGACATCTTCCTCGAAATACTCAATTTGCGATCTATTGTTCTTATCTATCTTAGTTATAATTTGATCATGGTTGTTTGTAAACTTACTCCAGTATAACTCTAATGTATTTAATCTTGCTTCCACATAAGTTGTTGTTATTCTATCCCGGGGCGACTTCTTAAAATTAATTTGTGCTTTTGAAATATTTTGCTTCAGTTCGTCTTGTAATACTATTAATGGTTCATTTTCCATTTTTTTATTTAATATACGGCTCGAATCGGACCAAATGTTAGAAAGATAAAATAAAATTCACTCTTTTCGAAAATAAACGTGTATTGTTGAATATGAACAGAAAAAGACAAACGAATAAAATTTTTACAAATTTAAAAGAATAAATTATTTCTTCTTTTCTATGTGGTCTGACTTAAAGTATTGAAACTCCTTGGACACATACTTAAGGAAACAAACGAAAACTGGTTTTATATTATTAAATGGTAGTCGTATTTAAACCAGATTTATTCTATTTGTAGACATCCATCGTTTCGATTTTGTTTTTGCTTCTAAATGATCACCGATGAAACGTCATCAGTAACTTGAATAAAACAATGGACACTCAATACGTCATAATATAATAATGGTATCATTTAATTTCATTATCAGTGTAAAACTCAATATATAATTCCGTAGCCTTACATGACGAAATCGGTTGTCAAGTAGGCGTTAACATCGTTTTATCTGATATATTGATACAAAGTTGATAGCAAAAATTACTAATAACAGTTTGAATTTGTACGCCTCAGTGAACGCGACTGGATTCTTAACAAGTGCAATGTGTTAACCCTAGTGACTGATAAGTGATCTTATTATAAATAAATCCAAAATGGCGCACACACATACAACACAGTGTAAAATAGATCATTATTTTAAATTAGAAAAGAAATATATGGACATGAAAAGGCTTGTGATGGAAAAAACTGAAGAATTAAAACGTCGTGACAAAATAATAGCACTACTAGAAAATGAGATCGATGAAAGAGATGCGACTATACGTTACCTTAAAAATGAAATAGATAAATATAGACAAGTCGTGAAACCTTTGACAAGACATATTATAGATAGCCATAAGAATGGTAAAGATAATGAAGAAGAATGTTTCGTGATGAAATCGCCTGGGTTAGAAAATACTAGAATATTACCAATTGGCGAACAAAGATTAAAACGCACTGCTATATCAGCCGAACCTTTGTCATCGTTAAGCCAAGAACATGATATGAAACTGGCCAAGATACCGAAGAGTCATAAGTAAGTATTTGACAGGATGGTAATCTTCTCGCAGCTTGATCCATTTTGAAGCTTATCTAGCAAGAAACCAATTCTAAGTCGAACTGTTTCGTTAAAACTGTGCGTATATAGGTAGACTTTAATATATAAGCAATCTTTAATATACTTTACTATCAAATATTATATGTAAACAAACTTTAACTGTACGGTTCAACTGAGAGTTAAAATGTTGCTTATTCACGCACGCAAAAGTAATTTCTAGCAGAATTAAAGTTTGCCGTGCACCGTGCGTTTTGTACTTAATATTCGTATATCATGTTGCTCCACCGTTTTAATTCCAGCACTTTTCCTCACATATCAGTAGCTAATCAAACAAGGCGTGCCCATGACCACTTATAAGTTTAAACGTTCTAAGCTTAAGCATTAATTAAAGCATTGCATTGTTAAAGTTATAAATCAATATCAATTTAATGAATCGTGAGTCAGAGATTGAATACAGGTGCGCTGGAAACGTCATTTATCAATCAGCAATTGGATATGTTCCATGCGGCTTTGGCCCGCGCGAGGTCGACCTGTGTTAGCGTATCCAGTATGCCTTCGAACGTACACATTTGGTATAATTATGTTCGAACTTTATTATCTGTCCTCGCCTTTGGCAGTATCACACGAGGGTTACGCCTTTGATACTTATTAATGGCAGTACGGTTTCTTTGCTGAACGATTTAATATAAGAAGAACATTTTGGCTTACACATTAATCGTTGGTTTCTGACACCAAATTATCTATAAAACAAATCTTCATCTGTGTAATTTGACAAAACAGATATAACAATGTTTTAAACGAGGTATTCTGCTATGATTACAACGTATAACATAACCTCACAAAAATTAGTCAAGTTGTTCAAGTTAAATGTCACACAAAGTATTCAATAATATGTATGACTTACCGTAGGTTTCTGAGACCAAAATCCCCTTATACATCATATTTATCTCTATTTTGTCAAAGATTATGACAGAGATAACGATATGTTTTATACAGAGATTAGGTCTCAGAAACCAACGGTTCGGATTTCAGATATTGCATTTATATAAAACAAAATCGTATATAAAACAGCAGCAGTCGCTAGAACTTGTATTTACCTTAGTCTATTTTTATTCAGAAGCATGGAAATCGTATCTAACGTTAGCTAAATTTAGATTCAAAAGTTTTCCTACATTTATTTTTATAACTGACAATTTATTCCGATACTACAGTTTCGATTGTTTCTTAAAGAAATATGTAAAAATATTGTTTTTGTTTTTCACCGTAGAATTCCACTGCAGATATTAGAATTATAGTATATAATTAGTAGTATATAAGTATAATAAAAAAAATTGTTTTTTTTTTTAAAGCATGTCATAGAAATAATATTTGCAGTGGTAAACCACCATTACTTACATATTTATACATAAGTTCATACATACTTGAGAGATAGAGATCAAGTTGTAACCAGACATTTAACAAATCTTATACTGCTAGTCACGAATAGTACTTAACATTTTATATGTGTTATTTTACTACGTAAGTGGTATTTTTTCAGACATTGTTTTTGTCTTTTATTTCACGTGTTTTGTTTATTTACTAAACCTTCAACTCCAGTTAATAAAGACAACAATGCTCACATTTTAATTAATTATGTTGCGGTTAAATATATTGCGTCAAGACATTACTCGTAGCGTATGTTAATGAATAAAGATGAATCGTGTTAATTGAAAATGGATTAACAATGTACAATCCAACCTAGGCTGAATATAAATTCACGAAGTTTAGTATCGATCGGTGACATATCCTATTTGTTATAACATTGTAACTCTCTGTTACACTTTCATATTTTTATTCCTAATAATATATTTGAAAAGCCATATGGAGAATTTTCTAAGGAATATTTTTATCATTCGTTGGGATTTCGTTATCAAGTGACATCATCTTAGTTACATGTAATATTGTGATGTGAAAATTAACACAAACAGACAACTGTTTGCATTATACATAAGTGTAACGTCTAGTAACTAATTAGTAAGTGCTAATTCAACCATGCTTTAAGTATAGATTGAAGATCAGTTATCAGAATAAATTCGTTTGACAAAACCGTACTCTATCTTCCACCATAATTCGGGAGGTAACATGTAAATAGATGTCTAGATTAGCCCCTAAAGTGGGAGCTGCCTCAGCTGACGTAGTCGGGATCGCGGACGAAAGCACAAGTGTGCCCATGGCCTCGCCAAGCGTAGGAGAAACAAAGGGGTTTAGTGGGTATCGGGGAAAGAACTCACATCACGACCGCTTCTTCCCTGAGAAGCGGAGTATGCATAAAGCGGGAATGCCTTATGCATACTCCTCTGGAAAACAAAAGATTTCTAAGGTCCCTACTATCATGTCACAGTCAGAATGTGTTCATCAATTTTCCAAATGAAACTCTTCTAAGGTCCTTACTTATTTATATCAATAGCAGATGTCACAGAATGTAACTTCCGAGTGTTTAAAGTTAGCAATCAAAATCTTTTGTATTCATAAAAAAACTTAAATTTATTCGTAAGTATATTGTTGTGAATTTCGAGATACCGCTTAATCCTAAATATCAAGCTGATTCATTTGCTTCCATTTAACTTTAAAAATATCCTTGACATTAAACTTTTAAGAATTGTACAAATTATATGATTAATTACCATTAATTGGAGGCAATTTATACTATTTAAAAGATCTTACATACCAATTTATTAAAATGAATAATGAAATACATTTGTTGTGTCTAATTGTTAAGATCCAAATATTAATTTAATAATTTGTAAGGAAAAAAGTGAAAAATCGGTTGATCCCCTTCTAAAAGATATATTTTTCGATGTCTATTATCATTCATAGTTAACATAAAACTATTGGAATATGGAATTCATTTTAAATGATAGAATTCCTATCGCACAAAAGTAGCAGCAATTAACATTTGTAATTTGAATACTATCAAATATAAAACTTACGTTCAAATACTTCATTTGTTGGCATACAATTGGCCAATGAATTCAACAAATATTCGACAAACATTCGAATGTTAATTGAAGTTATTTCATCAATCAGTACGTTCCCTTTCATCGAATTAACGACCACAATAAAGCCAATAATTTTTTTTAAGGCCGCTGTCATTCCTTATAAATCATATTAAAATGTTACTCGATGATTAATTGTGCAATTTTAACTTGCAATGAATTTGTACAAATATCTTGTAACTTCTTATTGAAGTCACAATTTGAGAATTTATAAAGGAGTTTCAAATTTGGAATCACAACGTTAAATGTGCAATTCTAAGATTCTTAATAACTTTTTAATGAATAAATAGAATCTGAACAATACATACTTATAGGCATTATTAGTTAGAATCATTTGGCGCGAATGGTGTGCTTTCGTAACAAAGTCAAGTGTCAGATTGATTAGTGAGGGGACATAAACGTCGACATTTTAGTAACGCTAGTGTTGCACCATCGGCACAGTGTCAGATTTTCTTCCTAACAATACTTATACCACTATATTAAGAATGTGATAAATAAATGTTATTTTGTAAAAAAAAAACAGTATTGTATACCAAATGTAAATCTGGATGTGATGCTCATTAATGTATTTATTTTTCAGATCCCGGGAACTTATCAAGGGAGCTATTCTGGACAACGACTTTATGAAGAATTTGGAAATGACGCAAATACGTGAAATTGTCGACTGTATGTATCCTGTTGAATATGCTGCAGGCAGTGTTATTATCAAGGAAGGCGATGTCGGCAGTATTGTCTATGTTATGGAAGGTAAGTCAATTTCAAATATTACACACGCCCTCTAGTAGACAGTAGCAGAATTACTGTGGTTAATTCGTTGATAGTTTTATCTCGCTGGATATAGATGGCGTTATACTATAACCATCTTAAGTTCTAACTGTAGTTAAATACATTTTTGATTATCTTTTTATATTAGAAATAAAACACAAGAATTAAGTAATTCATAATCTTATCTTCGGCGAATGTCAATTTAGTTTATTAGATAATTAGTAATACAATTAATTAGTTAATCAATTTGCGATCGTCATTTGTATTCGTTGATTTTATCTTTGAACAG